GGAGACGGTGGACATTTCAGGGGCCCTCTTGATGAAGTTGACATCATCAGAACAGATGCAACAGAGATGGAGGAACTGACAGAACGGAATAGAGTCTGGACAGCAAGCAGAGTGTTAGGATGTATAGTCAAGGTAACTGTGGGAGTCCATGGGTTTGTAATGGATATTGGTGGTCAGCCTATCCTCAGGATTGGAAACAGAGACATTGAGGAAGGGAAGGGAGGAGCTGGAAGAACAGTACCTCATTTTCCTCTTGGGAACCTTGCAGCCTTCTGGACTCAATATTGAGTTCAATAGTGTTAGGCCTTTGAGCACCTTCCCTATGTCCTGAACCCAGCCCCCACACACCAGGCCTTGTCATCACATGGGCTGCTACCACAACCATTCCATTGTCGGTTACTAATGGTCCCTATTAGCAGCTACTGATTCTCCCAGGCTCACCTTTACCCATTCCTTGGTCTGCCCAACTGTGTTTCTCTCTGGGCTCCATCTCCACCTATCGTTTACTCCTGCCCCTCCCCTCACCCCGTCTTTAGCATATCTACCAACCTTTTCCTAGCTACAATCAGTTTGGATGAAGAGTCACTGGACCTGAACCAGTAACTCTGCTTTCTCTCCACAAATGCTGCCAGACTTGCTGAGTTTGTTCAGCAATTTCCGTTTTTGTTTCCTTTCTCCAGCATTCACAGTTCTTTAGACATTTTTTTCCCAGAACAATTCAGAGTGGTGTGTAAATAAAGGATTATTAAGACATAATCAGCCTGTGGAGGGGCCTTGGAGTAATCTTCAGATACTCAACACATGGCTCATGCTGCCATGCAGAGGAGGATACAAGTACACCTTGGTTATTGCAGACATGTTCATAAAATGCATGAATGTTTTCTCAACTCGAAGTAACACAGCCAAAGTTGCAGCTAATGTGCTGACCCAGCATGTATGTATACACAGGAAACCACCAAAAAGTATCGAGTCTGACCAGGGTACTGCCTAGGTGATGCAGAACATAATGTTGTTATTAGGGATAAATCAGAAGTTCCATTTAGTTTATCAATCCCAATCTAAAGGGATGGTGGAGCAAATGGATAGAATCCTTAAAGGGATGATCAGGAAAATAGTCAGCAAAATGTCAGAACCTGAGACGTAATTCTACCATTTGTCCTGATAAAAATATGGAACATTATTTTGAATTCCATAGGATTAACCCCCCTTTATCCTTATGACAGGGTGTCTGATGATGGGAATTGAAGATCTTTTGGGGTTGGACCTCACTAAGCCAGAATTACTGACCCTAACATATGAAAAAACAATAAAGATGATCCTAGAAAATATCCAGGTGGCCCAGAGAGCTGCAGCAGTTAAGATCGGGGAAAGGAAAACACAGAGTATGTTTTACTTTGATGGAAAGGTGAAATCAATAGAACAGGAGATAGGGCAATGAGTGAACTTACAACATTTCCAGCCTGAAACCTTCCTGTCCCCAAGGTACATAGGCCCCCGTTCAGTGATAGATAAAGCCAGTCCCTCAGTAAACAAAAATCCTGTTAGATATGGGAATTACAGGATGATATAATGTAAACCAATGAAAGTCCCACAGGGCACAGAGTAATTGCCACCAATATCATGTGTCATTGGACAAGCCAGAAAATGAGAAATGTGTTCTAGCTCCAGCCCTGGTTGAACCAATACAGGATGGAAAATGTAGCCAAACACCTTCAGGGCAACAAACGCCAAAAGAATGGAGGTCTCTAAGGAAAAGGAGAAAGTCTGCAAGAAACAAACAGTCCCCACGGAGGGGAAGGGAAGACACTAGTCAGTTGAGAAGAAGCTGCTTAAGCAGGCAACTGGCAGAGAAACTGGCAAATATAGATTTGTTCAATAAGTAACACAGATCAGATGTGTAAACTGTAAATATGAGGAGAAATGACTTTGAAATTACCTTCGTCATAGATTTTGCATAATGAGGAAGATGATCATTTGAGTCAATAAACATGGAGCTGGACAAACACAGCAGGTCAGACAGAGTGAGAGCAGCAGGAAAGTCAATGTTTCCGACTGTATGCTATCCCATACTCTCAATTCCTCTGCCTCCGCCGCATCTGCTCCCAGGATGAGGAGTTCTACTCCAAATATCCCTGATATCCTCCTACTTTAGAGACCATAGTTTCTCATCCTCTGTAATTAAGAATGCACTCAACCACATCTCCCCCATTTCCTGCACTTCTGCCCTCAAACTCCCTTCCCCCAACAATAAGGATAGAATCCCCTTAGTCCTCAAATACCACCCCATGAACCTCCGAATACAACACATCATCGTCCAACATTTCCTCCACCTACAATCAGACTCCAACACCAGAAAACTAGTTCCTTCCCCACCCCTGTCCACTTTTCACAGGGACCGTTCACTTCGTGACTCCCTTGTCAGCTCTGCACTCCCCATCAATCCCTCCACCACACCCGGTACCTACAACCGCAAGAGGTGCTACACCTGCCCCTATACCTCCCCTCTCACCTCTGTGCAAAGCCCCAAACAATCCTTCCAGATCCGGCAGAGATTCACCTGCACTTCATCCAATCTGATTTATTGCATCCGTTGCTCCTGATGTGGTCTCCTCTATATCAGGGAGACCAAATGCAGACAAGCGGATCGGTTCACGGAGCATCTGTGCTCTGCACACACCAACAAATCTGACCTTCCAGTTGCCATCCATTTTAATTCTCCCTCCCATTATCCCAGCAACATGTCAATCCTTGGTCTTCTCCATGGTCAGAGTGAGGTCAAGTATAAACTGGAGGAGCAGCACCTGATATTTCACCTTGGGAGCTTACACCCAAGGGCCTAAATATTGACTTCACCTCACCGCCTCCCTGATCTGTCCTAACCTGTCCATATTCCTACTTACCTATCCGTGCCACCCTTCCCACTGACCAATTACTAAAACCCCTTACCTCACTATAACCCCTTACCTCTGCATCCACCCTATCACCATCCCACCTACCTTTTCCCAGCCCCACCCCCATCCCTCTATTTATTTCTGGGCTCCCTTCCCCGTCCCCAGTCCTGACAGAGGGTTTCAGCCTGAAATATTGACTGTCCTGCTCCTCTGATGCTGCCTGACCTGCTGTGTTTGTCCAGCTCCACGTTTATTGACGCAGATGATCATTTGAATCATGGTGTTACACCTTGTGAGTGGAGAACGGACCATAGTGGACAGATACGATGAATAAGAGCAAGTGGTCAAGGACTATAAGCACATGTTGTGGTGTGAAAAGTACAGATTATGGGATGCTGAAAACTGGACCTTTAAATGAAAGGACTTTGTGTACCAGTAAATATGACCACTGTGTGTCATAATATGATGGGGTAAGTAAAATATGCTAAGTAAAATATGACCGGTCCAATCATTATATAGCTACTCAGGGTAACGCCTGATGACCAGATGTGATCCTGAGGTGTCAAGGTGAGGGGATGACTAAGAATTCATTAATATGAAAGGATGATTTAAAGTTACTCGTAGACACACCACCTACATTCCCACCAACTAAAGGACTTATACAATGTCCTGTGGAAACTGCAGGACTGAAAAGAGGAATTGTTATGAGGGACACAGGTAAAGTATTGTATGAGCAGGGACATCATGAACTAGTACCGGTAATTCTGGATCTCACCAGGACTCAGGTCCCCAAATGATGTCTGAATCTTTTTCACTCACACACACACACACACACACACACACACACACACACACACACACAC